GATTACTTTATGTTAGACAGTCGTACCCCATGTCAGTTAATTAAGGTGATGTTTGTTGCAACACCCCTGAAGTGTGGGACCTCTTCAATGCCTTTCTTATAAAAAAAAACCACATTAATCGAGATCTTTAAACATGTAGTTCCTTGAACCAGTTGACAATTTCACATCTGTTTCAATTGTCCCTAAGATTGCTTTTTTGTTGGCAGTTGTTACTGCTAGATGTAGTAAAGACCTGTTTTCTGTATAGACGGACCACATCTGGTGTGGACCGAGTGTGCCCGTCCGATTCCTACGGAAGGATTTTGAACTAAGACTGTCGGAATTCTCTTGCCTCCAAACATCTTTGTTCCAGGCATCAAATTATTCTTGTACGTTCCAGACGGAGAATGTTGGTGCCAATCATGACTTTCACATCGTACATTAGCTGCACAGGGACGCTTTGAATCGGTCACGTGCAGTTGTCACGTACATGTATTTGTCTCGACAACCGATGTAAAGCCCAGGTTATTGTTTCTTTAGGTGTGGCTCAGTAGCCAAGATGAATTCATGAAGTGAACATATGTACATGTACATGTGTGTGTGCCACATACCCCTGTATGTGTGCTATAGTGGTCAGGCAGCCATAGAGTGGCAATTTTGTGCTGTTACCTTTGGTAAGTTACATTTTATTTATCTCATTGGGAAATAATTATTGTTCTTTTTACTAGATATACTGTCATTGATTCAGGGGATTTTAGAGACATTTCAGAGATAATTGTGCAAGCCAAATAATTGATTTGTGTATTTAAAGAACTCTCATAAGATTGCTTGTGCAAGTGTCCACAGCGATAAGATCTTTGGATTTCATTTTATCCCAATGTTAGGCCCCGTGGATTAATTCCGATTTGCGTGCGCCCCCGTGCGCACGCGTGCGCACGCGTGCTCATGCGTGCTACCCCGTGCTGCACGGGTCTGCCCGCAATTGCGTGCCGTTGCGTGCCGTTGCGGGCAACTGCGTGCCATTGCGTGCTTATGCGGGCTATTGAGCACAGGCAAGGGTTGCTACACTAATCCCTAGATTAACGCTGACAAAAGAAATTGGGTAGCCGGCCAAGGCGGCACCAGACAAAGAGGTTGTGATAAATAATGAAAGGTTTGCGATGAAAGGGCTGGAGTTCCAATGACATAAAAGACGTTGGTGCCTGGCAGTGCCACAATGCATGGTGTCTGGATTACTCTTTTATGATACGTGACATTACATGTACATGTACTACACTTTACGTACGTAAGGCTAGGCTATTTTCATAGCTTTTTTTGCGTCGTTTGATTGAGCTCCGGACATATTATATTTCCTTTTTATTTTTCGTTGAGAGCTTCGGTTTTAATTGAAAGACACCGAACGTTCTTACTGTAAATATGAACGTCAGTTGAAAGACTGCTTTATTTATGTCATTATTCTTAATTTATATTAATCTGCATTTTTAAGAAAGTTCCACTCCATTATTCAAGTTAAACACCAATAATTGAAAGAGAAAGAATACACATCATCAAGTTCATTTTCATCATTCAACTTTATAGTCCTCCGATCAAAAGTCATGATAAGCACTGCTGTACATCAATCATAGGCCTGCACGTACGTATCGTCATGATATGTTGATAAAGTAATAGGCCTCATAATTGGGGCCGTGCCCATTGAGAGTCAAGTTGATTTTTTTGTTGCAATGGCGATCGGTATTTTATTTGCTGTAGGCCCATGCATGCACAATTGAAGTTGAATGTTTTGTTCGTTTCATTGCAACTGTTGTATCCATTTTCTCATTGACATAAAAAAAAATGTTATGTGCTCTCAAATTTGATTTGTGAATTTCAAATTGTGTGGCAAAATATGAAATTTTTAGGGCACTTAGTGCTATTAATAAGCATATTAGTGAAGTTTTGCTTTTGGTCCCCAAAAAGTGAAGTGATGCACCATATTCCACGAAACTTGACGCTGAAATTTCCAACAACTTCTAGAGCCAAATATGAAAAGATTCCCATATCTGGCCATCAGTAATTTTTCCCTTAAATGACCTATCAGCCATCAAAAAGTGATATTGTCCTAAAAAAATCTAAATTTGCAGGGACAAGTTTTGAATTGAGAAAACACTTAGAAATTTTCAGACCTGCAGTCCCGTAGGGTTTGTGCACAGGGTGACAAATGATTACCAGATATAGGAATCTTTCCGGCCATTTAGTTAATCCGGTGTTTATCACCTCCCGCCCCGATTTCCACGCAGCCCTGATTTTTTTTGGCACAATTGCAGAATACCCCGCCACTCAATCTACCAAAAGTATAGTTCCGATCCCGCCCAGCACAACGCAGCACACGGAATATGTGTCCACGCATTATCCCTGTTTATAAAAACCACCACCGCGTGTCAGACAACGTCTGGCAATGGCCGATCCCGCTCCACACAACACGGAACATGCGTGCACGCGTTATTACTGTTAAATACCGCCAGCCAGACTACATGTAAGTCTGACACCACTTCCATCAGCGTACAATACCATGCGGTTGTAGACCAGTCTAGCTGCGTCTCGCCATTTACAAAATTCTCTCATTTCGCTTCTGTACCCCGACCTTTAAATTTCTTTGCGGCAAGGTGCGGCAAGCTTTTAATAATTTCTTTTGATACCACTGTTTCAATAAAAGTCTGCACTTAGTTCTGGGTACGAGTGTACCAGACCGTACCATTTTTATTTATAAAGTTATGATAAAGACAGTTCGATTTTTCAAGTAGATTTTAATTCTACACGGTGTTTTAAATGAAAGTACCGGCTCACGCGGTAATGTTTGGGGCATTTCCTGTCCTTTCCTGGGCACTTTTATCATTTCGTTAAAATTTCCTGTCTTTTTGGAACGCGTGTAATTATTGGTACCACCAGAGTAGATGAGTCATGCTTGGCCCTGCCAAGTGTTTACAATTAACTAATGACCGGATTAAGGGACACAATGGCTAAAGTCCAAGACGATGTCTATTGTGCATTTCTGCGGTTTGTTTGTAATGTTGTACCACCTGGCACTGAGCCCGTTTGCGTGCCACTGCGTGCAAGTCCATACCAATGCGTGCCGATGCGTGCCGATGCGGGCCAGTGGGTTCAAAATCTCCTTTGTTCGAGCTTGCCTGCGTGCGCACGCGTGCGCACGGGGGCGCACGCAAATCGGAATTAATCCACGGGGCCTTATCTGTCATTCAATTAATTCATCCTTCTATTAAACCCCATGAAATGAGTATTGTTTGGAGGGCATTATTTATTTCATTAAATCTTTCTGTATTAGGCATGCGTGTACATACATGTGTTCTGAAAGGCAATTTATAGTTATTTATTTCTCCGCCTACTGTTATGCTATATTTAGTATTCTTTTGTTTTGTTGGTTCCTTACAGCTAATCGGTTTGCTGTTTAACCTATGGTTTATGGTTTACGGCAGTTTACAATCTGCAGTTTGCAATTTGAAGTTATGCTGTTTTTCGGTTAAGCCAGTTGTGATATTGTTGATTAAACTGTATTAGCAATTTGGCAAATTTGTGTCTTTTGAGTTGTTGGTCTGGGCCACTATAACCCTGCCATACCAGCAGGCTTCTCTCGACACGTGTTTGTCGGGACAACCCTGCCATACCAGCAGGCTTCTCGCGACATGTTTTGTCATGACTACCCTGCCATACTGGCAGGCCTTTCACGACATGTTTTTATCACCACGATCCCACCATACCTGCAGGCTTTTCATAAAAAGATTGCCTGAAGGTTGGTTATGGTCATCCATGGAACCATGGACGTATCAACGGCAGAGGCCATGTGATCAGCCCGTGTGCACAATATTATAGGCAAAGTTTGGGAGAACAGTGTTGAGGGCGACTGACTGAGCCCCACCATGTTCACAAGACATTTTCAGACCGGAGACCTCCCCATAATTGGATACTGCCTAAGAAAGCGGACTTAATATTCTAACCACAGTCCCTTCATCCAGCCCCCAGGGACCTCCATCTAACTTGTTGGCCTCTCTGCAACAGCAGGCCTTTCTCAAGATGCTGCCACTCTCACAGCACACAGCTCTAAACATTTACGGCTTGAGACTTTGGCATTATTATAGATGATGTGGACAGCAATCGGTTCATCCAACCACATCTCCTCTGACATTGGTTGGTGATTTTTTACTTAACGCTATCTACAACCGATTTGAAGATGGTTCTGTGATCTCAAACAACAAAGTGGTGACCCATCTCCTCAAAGGAAAGTTTGTTGAGCGTCCCCCAATAGGTAACCTTATACCTTCCTAAGACAACAACCAAGTCATAACAGACGTTAATGAAGCCCCCTTTTAGCCCCTGGGCGCTGTGCTTCAGGACTATTTAAGGGGTGATCAACTTCGGATTGAAATTTCTCCCTAAAGTTATCAGATTATAGCCCTCCCCCCCCCCAAAAAAAGTAAAAATGAACCAAAAAATGAAAGATGATAATATAAGCTTTAATTTGATGCATGTCTTGAATGCCTTGTGAGTATTTTCCCTGAATTTCTGAAGTGGGAGCATGTAACATTGGGGTCTGTGGCAGTTTTTAAGTGGTCTGTAGCCTTGGGGGGGGGGGGGAGCGCCAATGAAATCCTAAAATCATTCACAATATATTAACTAATGCACCCTTGTCACGGCTATTTCTTCTTTAGGGGGAGACCGTTCGCATGTACATCACAATCCTTCTTTTTGCTAATGCAATTTTTTTTACGGAATTTATTTTTGGGGGGCTAGACAACATTTTTGGGGGGCTACAGCCCCCCTAGCCCCCCCCGTAGAACCGCGCCTGGGCATGAGTGAGTCTACTTTACAAGTGTCAGCCAGTCAGTGAGTCAGTGAGAGAAGTCTAGAACTGGCATGTTGTGAACTTTCTTAGGTTTTTTTTCCCACTGCATCCTCCCTTGTCATTTTAAAGTTTGAATTTGAACATCTTTGTTTGATATCAACTTTTTTCTTTGTTGATATATATTCAGCCTGCAACATCTGGGACTTCCACTCAAGAAACAAGCTTGCCAGGGATTTCACCATACAAAAACCAGGCTGCTCCAGTTAAGATCACAAATGTACAGCTCCAAGGAGCATCAATGGACAGATCCAACTGGGGCCAATCTGCCCAGTATTCAACTTTAGAAGACCAAGTGGGATACCAGCAAGACAATTTCAGAGGTAGTTATCCAATTGCTTTTTGTAAATATTTGTACATGTTTTTAGGAGTTTATTATTATTATGATATTTTGGTGTTTTTATGTATGCGTGCTCTTGTACGCATACATAAACCTCTTGTACCTGATATACAGCGAAGATGAGAAAGAAATACCTAAATATAAAGTACACATACATGTAAACTATCCTCAGTGGCAGCGTTGGGGGGGGGGGGGATTAAGCTGAAATTTGGAATATACTTAGATGATATTAGTATTCAAGTACTCAAGAAATAAAAACTTGTAGGATTCCTAGAAATGGAGATAAGTAAAAAAATTTGGGGAACTTTTCGAAATATTTTTCCACGACTTTTAGGTAAGCTTTTCCAGTGACCAGTATTTATGTTTCTGCATCAATAACGGCGATTCAAGGCACAATGCAAAGCCTTGACAAACACAAGGTTGCAAAGTTGCATCCTGGAGGCCTAGAAAAGCCTTTGATATGCACTACGCTGTTGCATTCTTCAGTGTATAGAATATATGGATTAGTCATTCAGCATTTAAAAATTGAACTCTGGGGTGGGTGGGTCAAAAAACAAATGAAAAAAGATAGAATTTTAATTTTTTTTTTACTATTCTGAATCGCCACTTTATTGCTATAAATCATGAACTCGTAACTAGCCATAAAACAGCTGTGTGATCAGTTGAATAACAGACACTTGGTCTCTACTTTACATTGTGTCAGTTTAATGTACCTAGTATCACATTATTTATTAATATCATTCAAATATTATTATATTACTCCCATTAGCACCAAACAGGAGGCAGCGTTCTGTGCATTCTGACACAACTGTATCGGCCAACATAAATGGAAACAGGGCAGCCCAGTCCAGCCATGCCCAAGGTCACTCAAGGACTCAGTATCAGCTACAGCATCAAGTACCATATGTACCCCACCAGGGACACTACCAAGGCGCCACAACTTACGAGGATGGACTTCAAAGCAAATACTGTCAGAATAATGGGGGGAAAGGTTTGCCTCACTGATATGCATATGTTAGGTTAATTCCATATCAGGGGCGGATCCAGAAATTTTCGCGGGGGGGGGGGGGGGGGTTTCATCGGCAAAAAAATGTAAGTGCATTTCTTTTGGGCCATGATAATACTATGCACAAAAAAGCAATGGTCAATTCCTGTAATTTACCCTTAGGGAGACAAGTTAGATTAAGGAGACACTTCAATATCTTTCTGTTTCAACTTGTATTTCTAGGAAAATGTTGATGTAGCAATAGCATTACTCAAGTCTGAAGTCACAAGTGACAATCAGTGAGATAGGCATAAACAGGGCACAAAGCTGGCCCTGTTGGACCAGCAACAAATCGCCAACTTGTGAATTCTAATATACCCTGTGAAAATATATCCTTGAGAAAGTGATAATTGAATAGCTTTTGAAGATTGGTTTATTTGTTTCACAATTTGTAAACCATATGGTTGTTCTGCACACACTCAGGCATGAAAAAAAAAAAAAAGCATGAAACTTATTGGTCTATTTGTTTTAACAAATCTGTGCACTGTTTATAGAAGGTGCAACATACTACCTGTGTGGTTTATTGACAATTTCTTGTTCTTATAATAAAGTCTGATCCACAAATTAAGAAGATGCATTTCTTTACCTGGCTAAATAGTTCTAGATGACAAAGTAGAATTGGGGGCGATTTTATGGAGATGCTAGCACATCAGCCTGCTGATAATTATAGCAAACTAATTGCTCAGCCAAAAACTGGTTTCCAGCTAAATATTGTGAAAGTGTTTCCCTGATATTGGCCAAGCACATATTTTTTTTAAGCAGTTTTTTTGCTCAGCATCTTCATGAAATTGGGCCTAATTAACTCCTAGACTACAGGTACATGTACATACAAAGTGGAGTGTTCTTGATCTGGTGTATATTGTATAGTGATTGGGTTTCAATCCAAATACCGGTGTACTGTTTTTGCTGAGGTGGCGATGATCCAAGTTCAAGCCAAAAGTTCGAAGTTAAAAATTAGCAGGTATCAAAAGTTTAATATTGAAACCTTATATTTTGTTTGCAAGTTCAAATGAAATAAAACCTGGTACAAATTTGAAGTTCGGAGAAGGTTCAAGGAAACAGACAGGATTTTTTAAAATATCATTTGAAATACAATGCAAATTTTACAGTAAAAACGTCCAAAAACGGGGTTTAAAATGTTAAGTCCAGTGCATCATTTATTATACATAAATACCTGAGTTATCTTACCCATTCAGGCACTTTGTTGAATAAATAGAGTGTAATACATTACTGAACAGCATCTTCATGAAACATTTATGAATTTGAACAAATGCATCCCTTTGGGTTTGAGTATTTTTTTCATACATTATAATTAAATGTCACTTCTGTTTTGATAACATCATCCCTGGAAAAAAAATCCAACATGATTATCAATTTTAATAGACAGGTTAAATCAACAACATACGTTAATAAAAGAATTTCTGACCATATGAGTATGTATTGATACACCTATATTGAGGACCAAAAGTGGACAACCCATTTTCTCAAAAATCGGCTAGAACAAAAACAGAATGGTTGAAATGGAGTCCTCTTTCTGAATTTTCATTTGTCTATTATCAAAAATTTGGATTTTTATTTTCTTGTACACAGGTGGTCAAAAGTGTAAAAACCAAATTTGTGAATTTCTACTAGCAAAAAATCGGAAAGAGCGTCTACGACCAAACCAAAATTTTTGAATTTCTACGAGCAGAAAATCGGAAATTGTGTTTATGACTAAACCGAATTTCTGAATTTCTACTAGCAGAAAATCGGAAATTGCGTTTACTACCAAACCAAGTTTCCAATTTTTACTAGCAGAAAAAATGGAATAAGCATTAGATACTCAACAAAATTGGAATCATTGGCATGTTTTTCGTGTTCCGGAAGTTGGGTGTAGAATGGATCATAACTTCACGTATGAGTGATGCTGCTTTGCGCCTCTGTGGAATGGTCGATTGATTGTGTATACCAACATTATGGCTCAGTGTTTCCGTACTGGCATTCATTGATGAACTTCTTCAATGCAATAGATATGTGTTTGACGATCTAGCAAACAAAAGTCGGAATGACATAAAAGGTATACTTCTGTTTTAGAAGCCAGATCCAGAAGGGCAGATCTAGAACACAATTTTGGGGGGGGGGGGGGGGGGGGGGGGGTTGGGCCCCCAAAAACATTGGGTCCCCAAAAATTAGGGCATGGGGTTCGGGGCCCACTTTATAACGGCCCTGAAACATTTTTGGACTCTAGATGCTCTGTGGTGCGATCTGACCACTTTAACCAAATCTTTTTGAGGAAAAGATGGTGGTGTACGTAGTGACAGCCTTTATGCCCCGTCACTTAAAGGGAAGATGCAACATTTGCAAACATCAAAAAACGAAATGATCAAATTATCACGAAATACCTTACTGAATTGTTAGGGACTGACAGTCCAAATCATCCTTTAAAATCATGGCTCCTGGTGTGTTGACATTTTCAAGAAAAACTGTATTTTTCCCAAAAACTTTCCCTAAGTTTTCATATTTAGTTATTCTGACTTTTCTTTGCAATTGATAACACACCTGTGAAGGGGTACAAGCCTGCTAGACTGATTCTCTGAGCCTACAATTCCCCAAGTGTATTAATTGCTCTGTTTCATTTTAAGTGGGGTCAGGGAACCAGACTACAAGAACATGATAGGTTTTCTTGCTTTTTCCAGCGTCTACAAGCCCAAAACGTGAAACAAGTCAGTTTAACAATATTTTCTATAACATACTACATTGTAATCCTCCAAATCCATTTATTTCTGAAAATTACAGCAAAAGCAAATGTTGTACATTCCCTTTAAAACAATATTAAAAATTGAGTTTGTGGTGTGTTTTTTTTTTTGGGGGGGGGGGGCATGGCCCCCGTTGGTCCCCCCCCCCCCTCGGATCCGCCCTTGGCCGACGCTGATTTGTTCTATTATTAGAATTGTATATTTGGCGACTAACCAAAGTTAAGCCGGGTCCGCACAGGGAGACTGAAAACAACCCCCTAGTTTGCTCAAGGTTTATAAAATCATTAGTCAAGTGCCTCCCTATCTTTTTAAAATATTAATTTTTCTAAGGCCTATAGAAAAAAGGCCTATATATTAAAAAAGGTGGGCATTTGTCCTTGTTAAAAAAAATAAAAAAATTCTGCTGATGAGGGTTTCTTAACCCAAACGACTTATAGAGTAGCCCAACAAATCTAACCCCATTTTCCGCTTAAATATTCCATCTTGATTTTCTACTAGTACAAAAAAATAAAATTTGGTTTATGGTAAGCAAACGTTCATTTTTCTGCTTGTGGAAATTCGGAAATTTGCTTTAGACGTGAACACAATTTCTGATTTTCTGCCAATAGAAATCTGGAAATTTGGTTTATTCGTAAATGCAGTTTCCCATTTTCTGCTCATAGAAATTCGGAATTTGGTTTGGTCGTAAATGCTCTTTCCGATTTTTTGCTAGAAGAAATTCACAAATTCGGTTTGTACACTTTTGGAAAATATAAAATCCAAATTTTTGATAGTAGAAAAATGAAAATTCTGAAAGAGGACTCCATTTCAACAATAATTCTATTTTTGTTGTAGAAGATTTTTGAGCAAATGGGTTGTCCACTTTTGGTCCTCCATACACCTTGCTTCCAATTTAATGTCACAGCATTAGGATTGGTAACGTCAATAATGTAGCTGATTCAGTATTGGGTTTCCTCTTCACTGACGTCTTACCACTCAACCACCCCGGGTAAGATGGCCAGTTCAGATCTGGCATCTGGAATTTGCGAAGGGGTGATGTAAATTCAGTATCAGGTCTTGCCTTCACCTATATATTTTATAAACACTGTACTCAGTGTTATCCCAGTTATTGTGAGAAAAAAAATCACAGTGAGGAAAACTTTACTTTTTCAAATTCCTTTCAGAGCAACTTACAATCTGATGATGTCATCTTTCTGAAATAAAACTGCTTTACCTTTACTTTGGGGTTAATGGAAGTGAAATGACAAATGAGTATAACTGAAGCATTTCACTACATTCAAATAAATTATTAATGTTCAGTGGAAGAAACTCAACTCAAAAGAAGTCATGATGACATCATGATCACTTGAAAGGGTGCCCTCTAGCAACATGTAAAACATTGTTTTGAAAATCCTTTTAAAAAAAAATTGCTCAGATTTCCCACAAATATTCTGTGGACAGTAACAAATTTATTTGCAAAGCTCAAAATAATGATGACCTCATCAGACCGGAAGTTTTTCTAGGGAAAATTTGAAAGTTAGTTTTGTTCCCTGGTTTTATTCAAATCCGTCATTCAGCACCTAAAAGCAATGATTGGTAGCCCCATGCTGATATCAACGTTTGTTTATATTTGGCATCCGAAAGCTGTGACATCAAACCGTCAGGTGCCATCCTGTAATTGTAAGCAAATGTTTTTCTTTTACTGCCTTTTGTGAAATCATAAAATGCTTTTAAAAACTGATAATTTATAGTAAGATTCATAATTTGCCCTAATTTAACATTAAAATTCATTACTGAACAGAAACATTGTACCAAATATTGTCACAGCCCATCACTCTGCGTTGGTCACATACAGCTAAACTACGATATGTAAGTGAAACTTTTTTGTTGGGGGAGTTTAGAAGCATAGCATAGGAGACCATTCCTTCTAGCATAGGAGACCATCATTACTTCCAATTAATTTCAAGCTTCTAGCATACTGTGAAGTCATTAAGTTAGGTGTCAATCGAGAGATACTCATAGATTTCTGTAATTTTGATTATATCTTGAATACTTCAAAATAAAAGATTGTCTTTACCCTGCAAATTCCAGATGCATTATGTCTTCCAACCAGGTGATCAAGTACAGTGATTGAATTAGGCTTTGATATTAAATATACGATATATTTATTTTGATTTTTACACCAGAAATCCTTGTTTTACATGAAGGTTTACACATATTTGAAGTATTTGTAAATAGGTCTGCATTACAAGAATTTCTCATCTAGCCTCATGGACACATGAGGCAGGCTGGGGTTGTTTCGTATCCAGTTTTCAAGATTGTTGCTTTGTCTTCAGTTTCAGAGTTATCGCTGACTTCTAATCACTTGCAGGCAAAACAAATGGAAAGTATTTGAACCTTTTTGCCTTGTAATCATACAGTTGAGTGCTCCTCAGGCAAAACATGCACCAGAATTTAGCCAGAGTGCCAGTGCCAGATATCGGGGGCCTCAAATCTCCATGTTGAAGACAAAGATGAAACTGAGATTTCAAAAAGACCCATAAATTCAGCACTGTATCGCCAATAGATCATAATATTTCAACATTACAGCCATACTTTGGCATAGGGTATGCATGGAGGGCCATCACCACTTTAATCACAAAACAATAGAAATAATTATCAAAAAGACATCAACAATCTGAATATTCAACAGACAAAACTAACTAGTTAACCTGGATGGAAAAGTAATGGAAGTGGATGGAAAAGTAATGTTGACATTTACTGATTTGCGTGGTTTGAAACTAGCCTCCCGAGTAGATCAATCTATAAGCGTTTTTGTGGTGTCGATGTGTGTTACAATTTTTTGTAGACGTCCATTTCGACAGTTTCTGTTGTAATTGTGTTTGGGGGGGGGGGGGGGCATTTGTTCACCTAACACAAAAGATACATTTTTTGTACGGTCATTTTCTAGGGCTGTGAATCGGAACTGGGCACTGCTGATATCAGGAACTATATCCTATTTATGGGATCAGGTACCCATAACCACCTTTACAAATTACTTAATAACTTCTCAGACAATGAAAACAAAAGGTTTACATGCCATTTAAGGAGAATTTTCAAAGTGAAAACCAGGCTAAATGGAAAACCAAAACTGATTTAGTCTCGATGTGCACTTTTAAGTGTGACAGAGAATGCAGTTAAGATGTCCTCTAGACAACTTCCAGGATAAATTTAGGAGTTGGCAGTGGCAGCGGAACGCTTTTCAAATGTGATGGGCATCACCAAAAAGGGGCACTTGCTTAGAATAAAAGTCATCTTCCGTTGGTGTGAAGCTACTTTATTTCACAATGCAAGGAACACGTTACCTGAAACAACATTTTCTACAAACAACATTGATGTACACTTTAAAAAAATGTTTGCGTAAAAAAAAATACAGTGTAGGCCTATTCCTTAAATAGTCTCAATGTAGCCGTATTATTCTCAAATAAGGTAATTTTTCACTTGAGAGAGCCCTTCAGCCTCCGGCACACCCCCGGCAGTAACCTCTCTGGGTCCGCCCTTGAATTTGACTAGAAAGACCTACATATGCAGATGGACCATTTTTTTTTATTGTGAGAGGGGCACTGTTGCTTTTGATGGCCAGTTCAGTGACCATTTTATTCGCATGAGGAGCACTATTATTGTTTTAAAGGCCAATTTTCCATCTTGAGAGGGGTGCAGTTTTAATATTGCGAGCGGGGCACCAATTGTGCTTTCGAGGGGCAGTTTTCCTTCACGATAAGTTACTGAGAGAGGAGCACAATTGTTTTTGACGGCCAATTTCCCATTTCAAGAGGTTCACAATATTGTTAAAGCGCAAGGTGCATTTGTGTTTATAAGAGGCATTTGCCGAAACAGCCTTTGTTTTTGTTACAATTTTCACCCCCCCCCCCCCCGCCATTTTCCATAGCATTAGTACACCTTTTTATCGTGCATGGCACTTTGGGCACTAAAATCCATCTGATTGCCTCTATACTTGGCACACACTTACACTAGCATCTGCAGATGTGTGTCATGTGACATCTTATTAAAGGTACATATTTCGAAGGCCTATATCTACAGAATGACAAATCCGATTGGGTTTAAAGTTGGTATGTACCTAGACCTGGATGTGTTATTGATGCAGACATGGATCCAGAGGGGGGTTTGGGGGTTCAACACCCCCCCCCCCCCCAGCTCTGACTTGATTTTTTTCCCATAAAAATACATTAAAAATAATGTGAAAACCTGGCCATGCTCTGACACCCAAAAAAATTAATGACAATTATAATGGTAATAATATTCGCCTGTGCAAACAATTCAGTCAGAGCCAGCTGGCTTAGGGGTATTTGTACTCTATTCTGTAATAAAGTGTTGATGATCATCAGATTTGAACAGCATGATTTGCAGATATTTAGGCCTATATCTGCAGATCTACAGCTCCGATTTGGACGTATCTTGGTATGTACCTAGGCCAGGATGTGTTATAGATGAAAATTGAAGTTATTTCATGGCGATGTCATCACATGAAATGTCACATTAATGGTGCATTTTTAAAAGCCTGTACATATGGAACTAATGGCCCTAATACTGCATCTATGCCCTAGTGTTGGGCAGTTTCAGAGTTTCTGGAACTGGCTCTGGCTCTCTCAAAAAAAAGAAAAAAGTTTTGAGTCTGAACCAGCTCCTGGAAAATTCAATGAAAAACATAAGCGCTTGAAATTACATGTAAAGTAACAGGCGTGAACTTGTGAGGTCCTTGCTCCCTAGATTTCGACATGCAGTACATGATATTTCACCAAGTATTTGGTTTCAAATGTGTGTCTTTTTCCAGTGAAACTATGGAGATTGTGTTATAAAGCAAACTTGGTAATTATTGCTTATTTTCCGTTCCTTGCCTACGATTTTATTTACCGCAACAACTGCCGACCATGCATGGGTGAATAAAAAAATGTCCATTTGGATAAGTTTTTGTCTCCCACAAAATCCGAAAGGTTACAAGTTTCTCTCTTCAGCCAACATTTGTTCTGGTATTTGCTCTTTGCATGTTCCGCCATGCAGAGCCTTGATCTGGCATCTTTACACAATTATTATCCCCCCTTGATTTTTTCTTTGGAGCTACCGCTACCTCAAGTATCAAGAAATACAGTGGAAGGTTGATCAGCAGGAGAGTGACAATGTGAACCTTATCTGTTATTCAGTTTCAAGTTCAATAAATGTAATTCCATTTAATTGATGTCCTGTTCTGTAATTACATTAATTTCCATGACTCATTCAGAGCCAAGAATTTTGTACCTGTACCAAGGTCTGTCGGAGCTGATTCCAGCCCTCGGAGTCAGGTTCAAGTAGCCCAGATCTGTCTGGCCACGCCCCTCGAGTTAGTGTCTCATTTAAAATGTTGAATATGCATGGTTCAGGGCCAGTATTGGGTTCAATGCTCTATGCCTCGTGCGTGGCCGCAAATAGCTCAGCTGATCAGTTTGTCTCCGACTCTCTGCATAAAGTGTGTGAGTCTGTTTGGTTTTCCCTGCCACTGTTTTGACAAGCCCAAGTGAAATGCCCCCCCCCCCGCCCCCCGGACATTGGTCTTCACGCTATTGAGTTCCTATGGAGCCAATTCTGGGCTTTGTGCACAGAGAATGGGTAATTCACTCAGGAACCGATTCTTTTGGAGCCGGAACCGAGTACAGCGGGTTCCTGGTTCTTGAGAAGATTAGAATCGCGGTTCTGGTTCTCATACTGGAACTGGGTGGAACCGGAGAACTGAGGGAACATCGCAATACTTCTATGTGCTACCAGTCTATAGACTGGTAGCACATAGTATTATTGCAATGGTATACCATGACATAAACAAACAACAAAATGCTAAAACAGCCATGCGTTTATCCACAAACATAAATCTAGTTTTTTTTTAATGCTGTAAAGAAATAAACTCAAAATTACTCTCAAGGACTGTCTTTTACTGCCTCTAAATGCACTTGCAGATCATCACAATGAAACTTGAACTAAGCATGCAACTTTTTCATTCTGATTGAGTTTCATAGAGCAGGGCCCAATTTCAATACGTTGCTTTTTTCAATTTCTATATCGCTTCCTACCTCTATCTTTCCTGACTTGTATTATTATTTTAATTGTTTTTCTCATCATAGTTTTCTTCTTTCTGACATTAACAATAGAAATCTCTATGTGCATATACAACTGTTAGCACATTTAGCCATCAAATAGTGCTTCAGGTTTGCTTAATTTTCTGCTATATTTTAGCACAACCTTTTTGCTAACTGTTAAGCAGCACTGTGCAATCAGTCCCAGGTAGAATTTCCCTATACAGGAGAAAATCCTTGATAAGGACTGGCAGAAAGTCTATGTTCGGAATGATCTTTGGTGCACACGTTGTTCCCATGTGCTCCGTGATTGCCACACGACACAGATGCAGAAGTGAGTGAGGATTGCCTGCAGAAAATAGAGAAAAAAGGGTAAGACCAACCTTTAGGTCAGTGTATAAAACCCGTGAAGGGATAGGGTGGACTTATTTTAGGCTTTTGCTAAGTCGTGCGCACGATTGACTAACTTGTATGCATAGTTATACTAACTCATTTCCAAGTTTTACTAATAAATTTCCTATCATGTTGATTTAGTGTTAAGTGAAGAGAGTTTTGGGAATGGTCATTCTCCACTTGAAGCTCTAATGGAATACTCCAACATGCTGAGGAAAATAATATTTTGGTACAGACTGTGATGAGATTATGATATAATTCTCCTAATGTACACCGCTATGAAAAAAACAGATCAAGACTCGGTAAATCCCGTATTTGAGAAACTAATACTCAAGGATTAACATTTAAATTTACAGAAAAGTTGAATATTAAATGTAATTGTTTGAAAGAAAAAATATGCGACTTTTTTTTCCCGGAAGATGTTCATAAAAAGACACCAAAATTGTTATCATGTGATACTGAAGTTTCCAAAAGTAGGAAGGATGATCACAAATTTTATTGAAATTCCCCCACAAGTGACCACAAGACCAAAGTAGTTTGAAAAGCATTCCTTTTTTGGGGTGTGGGGGATGTTGGGGGGGGGGGGGGGTGAGGCAAAACTGTAAATCAATTGTTCATAACGCGGTGTCTCATTTAGTGCTGATATACAGCTTTATGAAGAGAATTGTCATGCTTCACCTGTATCCCAGTTCCAAAATGCTGCAGAAACTTTTCTCTAAAATAACTATCCTTTGTGAGAAAATTATATCACTGCCCTCTAAGAACAACAGGGTAAATCTTGGACTACTTTTACCATTTCTGTTTCTTGACAACAACATTAACAGGGATTGTTAAGACATACGAAAACCTCCTACAAAGTAGTTTTCCACCAAATCTAAGCACAGCTGGGTGCTCAACAAGACATTCTTTTGTTTGTACATTGTAGTCTGATGTTCATAACATGGACACGAAAGATGATTATGTCATCCTCTTTCCCCCTAATACTTAAAGGGACACTGCATCCTGGAACAGCACAATTGGGCTACAAAACTCGCTTTGAACGAAATGATGTTTATCTGAAAGCACATGCACACAATTATCCTTTTGCGACCCCAAAAAGTCAAGCTGTTTGGGTGCTAGTTGTGATTTCATCCGTGAAGTGTTCGCCTTTCACTGTGCAAGAAACCATATTTTATGCATTGGTGATTGGTCATCGCTGCCGGCTGTTCGTGAGCACGGTACTGAAAAGACACACACAACGTGTATATCTTTTCTCAGGAATGGTACATTAGGTTGGTTTCCTTTCAACCAGATGTTTGAAATTTGATAAGTAAACAATCCAAAACATGAAATTTTGGGGAATTTCAGGACCTAGTACCCCTTTAAGGGCAGTCTTTATATAGTGGATTGATAGACTGGACTTTAAACTTTCACTGTACATTGGGTTTTATTTTATACAACCCTCTTGACAGGAAAAGCAGTTGATGAGATTTAAAGGTTTGCATGGTGAAGGGTAAAATAAGGTAAGTGGCTGCGGTAGCACCGTGTGGCAAAATCTCTTTTGTGAGTATGTGTGGTTCTGAAAAGAACAGGAGGGTACTCAACGTTTCGGACATCTCTGCTTGTCTTCAGGAGACTGAGGGATTCCAACGGTGAAGTGGGGTTGTAAGAGATTTTGACAGATTTTTACCGCAACAACTTACCTTATTAAAGCCCTCCTATGAAAACATGCATTGTGAGCCTTGTTATTACTTGGGTCAATATTGGTCATGACCCGCACTGGTTTGTTCACAGTATACCAGGAGGTGAGGAATGAAATTTTGACCGTTTGTGACCTCTTGAATAAATAGTTGGAGGGTTAATAACAGATGAACTGTTGTTCATAAATGGACACCAAAATTTCAGTTGTGACAGAGATGCGATTATTTTTTCTTGTGACATAAGAAATGGAGCTGGGGTCTTATTTGTGGATTCGGAAGTGTTTGTACATGTCCAGGAAACTGCTGCCAAAGTTGAAAAATAAAAAGAACTAGGGATTCGCGTTTGTTGTAACAAACGCAGAGTGGTCGGGTAGACAACTATTTTATGAAACACTGTCCAGTTAAGTTATGAATATTTTTATGTAAGAACAAAGGATCAGGAAATTAAATCCTTTCCAGGACAATCAATTAAATTTCAGTAAACATTCCATGTACACATACAAGTTATTTCTGGCTTGATAACGTCATTAGTCAAAAACGGGAAGTGAATACTGATTTAGTTTGGAGTGGATGTTCATTCTGAAGTTAAAAAATGTATGAAAATTTTGAAAATATAAGTGAATGTATTCTAGGTTTTTCCGGCCAATATCCGAATTTTTCGAATCATTTTCATTATCAGCCATTCAATTTCGCGTGAGTTTTGAACATGCGATCAAATTGGGGTTTCTTTTTCATTTTGGGGCATCCAATTTCATTTCTAGGCAGCCAAGATTTTGCACAGAATGTTCGCTTTCGTTTTAGGCATTCTATTTCGTTTTGGTGCATTCAAAACTTACCTTGTAGCATTCTTAAATTAAGTCTTTGCTACCTTATTACGGTTGACGCATTCAAATTATCGAACGTCGGTGCGCTTATAGCGTATTGCCATGCTTTTCGTTTCTTATTCGTTTATGGGCAATCGCTTTCATCGTTTGGTCATTCCAATTAATAAGATGTTTTAATGATACATTTTCCTATTTTGCTACGAGGTTAATTTTCCCCCAAAAATGTTGGTGACTGCAAAATTTACAATGCAACAAGTTAACTGATATGAGGGATACAATATGTACCAAAATAATGAAATGAAAAGGGCTAAGATACCGTAATCTCTTTTCTACATGTTTAAAATTTGATCAAGGGGCTTCTTTTAACGTTAACGAGTTCTTGACGTGCAAGACATCAGGGCATGTACGTTTGGCAATGGTTGTACCATCGGTAACACTTCTCTTGGGTGATTTCTTAAATGTTTTCTATTTTGCGTGTGTCTGACCGAACACTACTTTAAAGGGGGCATGCAAAGTAATTTGTCAATGCAAACCTTGAAACACATCTTTGTGTCACATTTAACCTAATTTTAAGTTTCAAATTTTTCCATGTTGAAGGGTTTTTTGGGTGCCTTCTCCCTTTTTATGCTGATGCAAAGTTCCATATTCATGAGCAAAACTTCGATGTCATTCCGGGGAGATAAATGTTTACTGGCTATTTCAGCACAAAAAGTTGCTAGAATTTTGGATATTTTGCTATCATAAATTTCTTTTCTTTGATGATTCTTTGTTGTGTCAGTACATGAGGTAATGAGCAATCCTTTCTCACAAATGGTTTCAATTAGCAAATTTTGGGTGAATAATTTAAACCCCTCAACTGAACAGTGTCTACCTGAACTCACATCAAAGCAACAGCGGGCTCAGTAGTTCGGAAAAGCATGGGAACTTGTAAATGTTTAAGACGTGCACTTTGCAATAAAACTAACCAATAAAGGATGTCAAAATAGTTTTCATACATTTCAGAGTAGTAGAAAGTTGCGCACAATGTATTCCTTTATAAATGAATTGCACGGCCCCTTTAATTAAGAAAGAGAGGGGTGCATTTACGGATTGAAGACATCAGATATGATTTACGCCGAGATAATTCAGAATTTTACATGTAGGAATTAGTCTTAAAAATGCTTGACAAAATGTGAAATATGTTTGCCCTTTAATGAAAATGAATGCACGATCAACCCTTGCTAGTGATTCAGACGAAATTGAATGAACAACGCGATACTTTTAATTTGACTGCATCTTTTACAGGGACGAGTGAAGCTAAAATGCGATAGATTGCTCGGATAGTGAAACTGAATGATTCTTTTTGATTGTTGAATGACGATCTGCATGATCTTTCAATTTCAATCTAAATGGAATGAGCTAGGCGCTAAATTGAATGACAACTTGGTGAATCATAACACCGAACTTCCGTTTTGATGATGTCACAGTATTTAGAAGCAAAAGGTGAACATTGTAAGGGTATCATTATTTGGGCCAAGATATACGAAATGGATCAAATGATAGAATTAAATTAAAAATATGATCGTTGGCAAAGTAACTTCCGGTCTGATGACGTCATGAATTAGAAACCTTGCCAAGTTATTTGTGGTTAATCAAAGAATATCAAGGGTCGATTTGGTAAAATTTGAACCTATGGTTTTAAAAGTAAAGAAAAGAAACAATATTTTATGTGCCGCTAGGGGGCGCCCTTTTGGATGATGACGTCATCACACTGTTTTTGTGTCTGGAATTCCTCACTAAACACTTTCATAATATATGTGTCTGTAGTAAAATGCTTCCGCTTTTGAGTTATACATGTATTCAGTTTTTATTGCACTTCCGGTAACACCGGAAGTAAAGGTCAAGCGGTTTTGTGTCTGGGAACACAAAATGTAGTCTACAACCTCACGGAAAAACGAATACGCTACTCTATTTAGTTCAAAAGATATAACGCAAACTATTTTGTCAAAATTTGCCCTTAAATCGCTTGTAATTTGATACCTGATGACGTCATGATGACGTAACAAAATTTGTAACATCTTCGTAGCATGGTACAAGTTCACACAAGGTTTGTGATCATGCCGTGAACAGTTTGGAAGAAATGTTGCTTGTTTTGATGTCAGGCTAACGTCTTCATTTTGAATTCACCTAATTTTGACCTTCCGGTAGACCCAGAAGTAAAGGTCAAGCGAGTTCACGTACACGACAAAAAATGTTAAGCGATTAATGGTCTATCTGATTACCGAATACAAACATCATTGATTGTTTAGTTCAAGAGTTAAAGGTGAAAGTAATTGGTCACTTTTTCAGATAAAATCACTTGTAATTTGACACCTGATGACGTAATCATGACGTCAGAGTAATATGCGCCACTTCGGATGAGGGTCGATATATATTGAAAGTTACAAGTTCATACCATATACCGTTTAAGAGAAAACCTGCGGAGAAGTATTGTTCGGAAAAAAAAAGAAAGAAAGAAAGACTAGAGGTCTATGTCTGTTTGCAACAGAACATAGGGCTTTTCCGCATTATGATTTTTTTTAATCAATAATATGCCCTGAATATGCATGAACATAAAATCTGTCAAAGTTAGCCGAAAATCAGCTAAAACGGTCACTGTGGACAGGATTTGACCTCGGCAATACGATGTATGTGCATGTGCACAAGGTCTTTGCTTGGACAAAGAGTGATCTAAATAAATTACTGGCAAAGAGTCGAAAACGCACTTTGAAAATCGACAAATATTTTTAAATTTGTTGATGACGTCATCGTGACGTCACTTCGAACTTTGCATACTAGTATGATTAACTACTACCCACCAAGTTTCATGACAATTGGACCTTTCCTTATATGAGTTTTGCAAAATCGCATTTTGATGACGTCATGATGACGTCACACATTTTTCAAGTTTTGTGCGAATAGCTATTACATAACAGACCAAATGCAAAAAAGAATTTTGCATTTTGCATGTTGCGTTCGGGAGATATGGCTAAAAGGTCCAAACAAATAAATATTCATATAAAATCTCAGGATGACGTCATCATGACGTCACCTCATTTTTAATCTATAACACATCCTGGTATAGCCACATACCAAGTTCCAACCCAATCGGACTTACATTTCTGTAGATATAAGACTTCACAATATGTAGGTAAATTTTCAAAAATCAATAAAGAATTAGGTGATGACGTCATCGTGACGTCATAGTCTTGGCATAATTTTTGTATGAGGGTCTTTCTTGGCTGTAACTTTGATGACGATTCCAGATCGCCAAAATATGAAAATGGTGGCTTGAAAATGTGTACAAAGTCAATAGGTTAAAAATCCCACAGCAGAAAAACTGCACCTTTAAATGCGTGATTTTCCTTTCAACTGAAACATTTTTATAAAATATTACTTGCTATTCTAACTCTTGGGAATATTTTCAATCAAATGAAAGGCGTAAAAAAATACGATTTCTTTTTCCTTCTCATAGTAATTCTCAGCCGAAGTTCAGAACTACTCAGTAAGATATATCAGTGTTGTATAGGGAAAGACTTGTGGAGAAAGCTGTGTACAAAGTCTATGAGAAAAATTAATTATTCATAAATCCATAATAAATCACTTGATGACGTCACCATGACGTCACTCTTCGGGACACGTCTTGGCTATAGGGACTATGCTTATGCCAACTTTCAATGATATCTGAAAAAGATTAATGCCAAGAGTGCTATAATACGTCCCTGTCTATGCGCATGCATGAACATAAAATCTGTCAAAGTTAGCCGAAAATCGGCTAAAACGGTCACTGTGGACAGGATTTTACCTCAGCAACACGTGCGCTGCAGGCTGACTGACATACGATGTATGTGCCTATGTACAACGTACGTGCATGTACATGTACATTGTGGACGTCCTGTCCTGTGCATGTTTTGAAGCAGAGGTATTGTCAACGTGAAGTTTTAAGCGTGCGCAGGGTATGTTCGAATTCGCTTATCGCCTCGAAACTTTGAAATGTTTTAGACCTACCCTTCAATTGACAATTAAAGTAAAAACAAATATAAAATCTGCCATGGTTGATTTTTCAGGAATTTTCAAATGAAAAAGGTTTTTTTTATTATAACTTCCGGTCTGATGACGTCATTCGCCTAAAACTTCGCACACGTCTTAAGTGGGTCAAGGTCATCATATACACCAATATTTAGGCGATTCCGACAAACTTCGCCACAGACATCTATTCAAAATACATTTTTGCTAATTTTCAACTTGTCGCTAGAGGGCGCTCGAAGATTGCATGACGTCATCGGTAGATGATTTGAAGAATTCTATCGGCCAAGAGACTAACATCGTTGAAAGCAAGTTCATTTCTATTACCATTATCAAATAATAAGCCACTTCCGGTTTGGGCCTTTTTCGACCGGAAGCAAGGGTCACGTGATTGCACGCACACTGAATGAAATGAAGACCTCAACCCACTCTACCACTTGCCGGCAACAGAATGCTGCGGACGCGTACGGTTGATTCTTATGCATTTTTTAATATTAAAAGTGTCACAATTTAATTGCCTATAAATACACACCTGATGACGTCATCATGACGTCATCATTACACAATGTTGTTTAAATTAGGGTCTTTGCTTGGACAAAGATTGGTGTAAATGAATTACTGGCAAAGAGTCAAAAATGCTCTTTGCAAATCGACAATTTTTTTTTAAATTTCTGTGTACAAAGTCTATGGAAAAAATTAAATATTCAAAAATCTATAATAAATTAGTCGATGACGTCAATCTTCGGGACACATCTTTGCTATAGGGACTATGCTTATGCTAACTTTGAATGATGTATGACAAAGATTAATGCCAAAAGTGGCGTTGAGAAAAACCGTGCACAAAGTCTATGGGTTTTAGGCAACAAAAAGAAGAAGCCAAAAAAAAAAAAAAAAAAATGAGAACAAAAAGAAAGGCTTTTACGCATTTTGCCAATTAATCGCAACAAATCCAAAGAGTGGTCGGGTTGTGCCCGACCACTCAAAAAGAAAACAAAATCTTTTGGTGTGGACATAACAGATAACAGATTAAATTACAATAGCTTATAAAGAATTCATCACACAATATGAGAGCCTAGTCTTTGAAAGTACCAGAAGGTTAAGAGTTCCATTTATGAACTGTTACTACACTGTAGGTTATTAAATTCTTTCCTTGGTAAATAAATAATTTTAAATTGTGTATACATGCATGTAACATTTAAAATCCTATTTTTTTTCTCTTTTTTTTTCACCGAAAAGTTCCATGAAAACAACGTTTTTGAAATTGTTTATTTTATTTGTGCTATGCCTAGCTTCTACAACTTTTATTTCATGCCACATTGTCAGGTTTTTGGATGAAAGACCTCAGAAGTACACTGAAGTTTTTTTTAAACAGCCAAATTTGCATGTTAAAAGCGTGCCCATGATTGTGGCTGTAACTTGTTCCCAGATATGCTAATGATTTTCACAATTGTTACGAATCTCTTCACCTAAAGAGTGCTGGTGTTCTGATTGGCCATGTTGTGCTTTCAACAGCTAACATGATACCTTGAATAAGTAAATCGTAAAGATGTATCAGGTCTCTTGCAAATCATTGGCACGATTTTGCAAATTATGGGCAATTTGTGGGAACGAATGAGTAAATCATAGGAAAGAAATTATTAAATCATGGGAACGTATATTAACAATGGCCAGAAAAATAGCCTTCTACCCTGTCTGTTCCCAGACTTCATATCAATGCAACATTTGATCCATTATTGCACTTGACAAGAAACAAACCCCAAAGATTTAAAATCTTGGTTTTTTTTAGTTCAACTATTTTTGTTCAACTCTGCATAAAATGAATCAGCTAGAATCAAATATCCATGTAAGCCTACAATTGTTATGTTGGTGCCAGAGAAAGTGGGGGTGGGGGGGGGGGGGGGGAATACACCCCAACTTTATCAAGAGGAGTGGGGGCATGTGCATGTGCATGTTTGTAAGGCTGTGTAAAAAGCCTTTAAAGCTGACAATACGCAGAAAATGAATTCCCAATAAACATGAGATGATTATATTTCCAAAAACTTACTAGTCAATGAGATGACTTTGTAGTAGCAGCCTAACTCTTGAAGGTGCTTGGTGCTGTGTTCACACAGGCTCAGTCTATCAACATAGTGGAAAATTAGTTTTATCAATTTAATCACTGTAGAGTCACGTAGTCCAGACACGGCAGAGTTGATGTTAGGACACAAGCTGTGTTGTGCTCGACAGTTGAAACAAAGCCGCAGTCCTCTGTTAATCAGTATGCCAAGGATATGCAATGGAAAAAGCTTACGAAACAGATCTGAGATGATATGCTTGCAATCAACCTGTCCGCCATGGTCAAGGAGCATTTCAAGAGCCTTTGAGTCATCTCTGAACATTGTCAGCAAGCAGAAGCTGCTGGAAGATAGGCAAATACATGCTCCAGAATCCAACAGAAGTTCAGCTGTGCTGTAGTGCCCACTCAGAGTTGCACAGTGAAATGGTGGAGGGTCGATTTCCAACATCTGGGCCATCTGCAGTAGTGTCTCTTTAGTTTCTGCTGAGGGGTTTCTGACACCACAGTCAGGGTCACATCCTGCTTCCAACAGGATCCTTATGACCTGGTTATGGCCTCCCTTTGCAGCCAGCTGCAGAGGAGTGAGTAACCCTTCCCACTCCCCTGGAAACTTGCCTTGTTCAAGCACTGAGAAGCTTGGTGGAAGCAGCAACTTCAAACACCTTGACAAAGTAATAGAAAAAAAAAAGAACAAGCAAAGATTACTTGTTTCACTCAAGGTGTTCTGAATGTTAAAACATGAATAGTACAGTTTGGTCTTACAATGGCATTCATAAAAACTCGAGTTGATGACTTGAGTCTGACCTGAATCACAATTTTTGGCAACTCAAATCCCAACGGGTAACTGGCTTGACTTGACTGAATCACTGCAAGCTTCTCTCATCAGAAGACTCAACTCAGTCAAAGGCTATCACTCGAGTCCCAAAAATGTGTGAAATATGTTTGCAGTGACTTACGGTATAAAAAGTTATTTATGTCTGCATACTTTGCATCACTGTCAAGTTGTAGCGCATAAACTATTATCGCAAAACCAGACATTAAGTGCATTTTCCAATTCTTGGTTTCTATGTATGCATAGATGTTGGCCTAAAAGGGAAATACATAACGTTTTAATTTATTTCCTGAAAATGAATAAAAAAAATTTAAACTTTTTTTGGGGGGTGGGGGGGGGTGTGGGGAGGATGGAAGGCAGCTAGCAGACTAGTCAATTTTCTCATCATAGGAGGGCAAGTGGGGGGGGGGGAGGCCATGGCCCCCATTGCCCCCCTCCCCTCCCTGGATCCGCCAATGGGACACACAAACATGGCAGCCCACCGTCTTGGTTCGACTCTCTGAAGTACTGGTCAACATCACTCTCGAATTGCTTTGTTTAATTTTTCATTCCACACCAACAAGAATTTTAGGCCCTGGAAATCACTTTTGTTAACCTTTGAGTGAGGAAAACAATCATTTGCTGCCAAATTTTTGTCTGTCCGTGTCGTGTACCACAAAAGTAAGAGGTGTCGCAACTTCGAAACAGGCTACAATTTAGTGGGTAATTTTTCAGTTTTGCCCTGTTACTGCAAACTTGTCTTTCTTGACAAATGATAAAGGATGCCACAGACAGTGTGATGACTAAATACTATGGAACAGAGAAACTGTTTGAATATGAGAAAAGTAAGGTTTCATTTTATAAGTTTTCAATGTAACATTATTATACATAAGTGTACTTTCTCTGTATGTACCGTTCACGTACATGTACATAATAATAATAATACTTACCCTGGATTGGACATTTGGGGGACATCCCCATAGACTTGTGCACACAATTTTTCAAACTTAAATGTGCCCTAACCCAATATTCCCATGTCTTTTTTCCACGAATTTTGGTATGTTTACTAATTAGACCACGAGCAACAAATATAATCTAATTGCGACTAAAATGTTGCCTCTGAAGGGGGGCTGTGACATTAGGGAGACATGAAAATATCTCCCTACTGACCGATGTCTCCCATCGTGCAAAGAAATTACGATAACGTGTCTCCTTAATGGTACCATTACACGTGTAATCATTACCCTGGATTGGACATTTGGGAGCCATCCCCATAGACTTGTGCACAAAATTTTTCAAACTTAAATGAGCTCTAACCCAATATTCCCTTGTCTTTTTTTCCATGAATTTCAGTATGTTTACTAATTAGACCAAAAGCAACAACTATAATCTAATTGCGACCATAACATTTTGGCTCTAAAGGGGGGCTGTGACATTAGGGAGACATGAAAATGTGTCCCTAATGACCGATGTCTCCCATCCTGTGAAGAAATTATGAACGTGTCTCCTTAATGGTACCATTACACGTATAATAATAATCGGAACTTCGGTATTATTTATTATATGCGTGGTATGTAAGTCTACATCACATTGATACCCTTTCACTGTCCTTTTGTTCTCTCCCATAATATATTTCATTTCATTTCATTTGTTTTTTAATACAACTTGGAACACACCCCTTAACCCCGGGGAGGGCTACTTCAACATTTTAAACCTGAATATTTATAAATTTAAATATAGGGCCTAATGCTAGCATTGAGCAAATGGTTCCTACTTCGGAATGATATGCATACAAAAAGGTAAGTGTTCTTTCAGCAAAACGAAAACAAATCACACAGGGATGTGTGTGAATTGTTTTTGTTTTGCTGAAAGAACGCACACTTTTTTTGTGATGCGTGGACAGAACTTTAAAACGGTGGTTGTGTTTAAAATTCCGTAACTTGAAAAGTGCATGAGTGATTTTAGTGATTCTTGTACTAAGAGAAAGCTTATTAATTGGGCTTTTATATCCTAGATTTTGAAAGTGCTACATGCAGAACATCACTAAAACAATAGTCCTGACATTTGGGTTTCGTTTTTGTTTACTCACCCTGTATATCTAATTTAGTACATACATTGTAGCTCTCATGCTCACAATACGAATGAATGCAGTATTTGAGACACATTTATGGGCCAAAAGCAGCAGTAATCCTGATGGTGGAAGAGTGCCTTCCTTTATATACTTTGTAATTCCTTAACATAACTATATTTCTATTAGAAATAAAATAAATTGGTCACAATACGTAATTGAATGACAGTATCCTTTGAGTCATGTCCCTGTTAATCTGCTAAAAGAATAAAACTGGTGTTTCATCTGGACTTTATAGCAAACATGTAGTTCTGACTCCTGAGTCATAATGCAGTATTGTTTTTAATCCACACACACACACACACCGGTGGGTATTTGCCTGCAATCAGGGACCCCCTATTGTCCCTCTTTTGTTTGGACTTCAACTTTGTTAGGAAGACCTCCCATATGTTTTGTACAATCGTAAATTGGGGACCTTCAGGAATTGGGGACCCTATTGTCCTCTTTTGTTCAATGTCCCCCTATGCAGAAACAAACTCACACACACAAATGTGTGCAGGTTTTGTTTATATTGCAGAGCAGACAGAGCTTGGAAGTAAGGAAAGGGAGGAAGTTGAGACAGCTACAAAAATGCTCACCCTCTAAAGATGTATTTACAATTATAAAATATTGAAAATGAAGGCATGGAGTAAAACCTTATTTTGACAGACATGGAGTCTAAAAAGATGATGAAATGTTTAAAACTTGGTGTATTAGCTCAAATCCTCCATCATCCCAATTGTAACCGACTCCCCCTTCCTTTTTTCCAGCCCAGGGACATGTTGACTGCATCAGGATTGTCGGGAACCCGGGAGTGAATGGCTGACATCTTCAAATTAGCATTGATCTTTAGTTCTTCCTGTGAAAGTGAGGGCCCTACTGAGTATATCTGCTACTCTCGATTTCCTCAACATAGATGAAGCATATTGGCATTTGACTACTTTTTTATTTGAAAAACTGTATAAAGTATATGAAACCTTTTTCACCATAAAAGGTGACATAATGTAATCAGTATGCATCACAAGTATATATCAACACCAGTATTCAAGGACTGAGGTTATGAGCCGGTTTGGTGTCTGGATGAAGTAGTCCGGGTCAATTGGTTTTTGTAACCACAATGTTATGCGAACACCCATTAATGCTCGTAAATTAACTCGCGTGCGTTGTACGACCCTCTCCTTGTTCATTCATGCGCCTTCAATGAACATTAAATTATCCTGAATGACAAGCTTTTTATATAGCTTTTTAGGCAATCCCTCAGGCCTGCATATAGTTCAATTTAATGTCGAATGTGTTTTAATGTGATTGTTTGATTGTTTCGTGTGTAATAACCTTTTGTAGTCTGTTCTTTTTTTTTCTTTTTTGTCGTTTCTAGCAATTTTTATGTAACAGAATTTTAAAACTGTCTTATATTTGAATTGTCTCGTGTCTGAGAAATTTTCTTATAAATAATAAATAAATAAATAAATGACCTGTGACCCATTATCATTGTGCACATGAGCAGTTGAACTACCAAGCTATCGATAGCTTGTTTAGTATGTGTGGGCTAATCCCTCCTCAACATCCTCTAAGTAACTTGTTGAGTTTATACAAGACATGGCACAAAGCAAAAAGAGGCAGAAAAGATGCAGATATTAATTTCAATGACATAAGTCGGCGAAGCCTATCAAATTTGTGAGATTATGCAGGGTACAATGTAATTATAAGATGATATTTTGTGTAGCTTTTACCCAGAGTTTGATGAGTCTCTCGGTTTATGAGTAGGGGTGGGTTTGATAGTCTTTCTAAAGTGAACAATTTGAAACGGGTACAAATGGAACATCAAAGATGTCTTGAAATTTGATTTTTACAAATTACATGCCATGTAGTCTTTTCAAATTTAGTGAAAAATTTACAAAAGGAAATGCACCGGTGCACTTCAATTACAATGCATCAAATTTATTTTATTCAGATATATTTTAATACTTAAAAAATCAATATGTCAATTTGCTCTAAATGACTATTTGTGAAACTCACTCTATGTGTCCTCTATAAGCTGCAACATGTATAGGCCGGAATCCTTCAGCAGTCTTTGTAGGTATATCTACCTTGGCGCCATGGTTCAGTAGGTACTCTACACAATGTGGATATCCCTCCTGTGCTGCTAGATAGAGTGGCGTAGCGTCATCCTCTGCCCTTGCATTTGGGTCAGCCCCTGTGGAAAGAAAATGCATGGCAAAACAAAGGTAGTAGATGCTTGTTGTTTGCTTTTGTTACAAATGCAGTGATATCTGGCATTGTGACATCACAGCAATATGTACATCTTGGGATTAAATATTAACATTTTACTACATTAGAATGCCACTATAAGGAACACGGTGGGCCAAATGTTCATTACAGCGGTGTTTGTTATAGTAGCATTCCACTGTATATCTTCCGACTGTAGTACACACACATCCATATAAGGCTTGAGGTAATAACCAGGTTTCAGTATTAGTGGTCAGAAATTGCCACCACAGAGCGTCTAGAATCTAGCGTCTAGGGGGAGAGGGCTTCAGCCCCCCACTTTTAAAGTGGAGGGATATCACATTGTTTGTTCCCCCCCCCCCCACTTTTTTCATCCCCAAATAAAAAATGTAACCTAGTAGCTAGACTTGACCAAGGCTATCAGCTTGTTGCCATACGAGCTTGTTCCCGCTACCGCACACCGCGCGCGCCGCGACACAATCACAAGTTGTACTATACCCTTAGCCCCAACGACCCTTGCATGTGCTTTGTGTGCATGTACTTATGCCCCACACACACTTCCGCAAACAGCCGTACAGTAAGTCGAGGCGGAAGATAGCCTTGACGCAACCGTGTATGCTGAATATGATAATTAGTACGCGCTATGGTAAATAGTCTTCTCTCATTGGATAACGGCTGACAAAAAAATGAATATTTATTAAATTGCATAATACGACCAAAGGTTTATAAACCAGACGGCCTGTGGTAACAATAATTATTGTAAAACACCCCCTTAAAATCTTAAATAATAGTAGAATAATATTTATAAAGTTACACATAGTTTTGGTAGAAAATGAAATGAAAAGGATGAAAAATTAGACCTTAAAAACATGGCAAACGGTACAAACCGCACGCCGGCAAAAACGATGTCACCGTGCACAGAGGCCACGTTGGGGTCGTCCACTGTAGGCACCAGCCCGGCTGGCACCATGCAGTAAGACACGCTGCACTTTCTCTTTCAGCGGCCAAAAAAACAAAACGCTCACACTATTGAGTATATCTACCGCTGACTTTTGGGGGGTATTATACAAATATTGAATGCTTCGAGTGGTGTAGTAAAACTAGCCTCCCGAGGTGATGCATGGACATTCTATTTTCCCGAGGCGAAGCCGAGGGAAAATAGAATGCTCCATGGATCACCGAGGGAGGCTAGTTTTACTTCACCACGAGAAAAAGCATTCAATATTTGTTTTATAACACTTCACCCACAGATTCTGCTTGGTTATAATATTTTAAATTATTTAAATCTGAATACATTTGAAATAAACTTCAATTTCAATACAAAATTGGTGGAAAATGTATTTCTCTCTTCCAAACTACCCCTTCCCGACATGTTTGAACCCAACTCTGTGGCGCGCTCTCTTTGGAACAAAACGCGCTGCGCGCAACGTGCACACCAGCATGCATTTTGCACACAAATACCGCGCCGTGGAAATAGTACTTTGGTTGCTAATGGTATAGTAATTTGGTTGCTACGGGTATAGTACTTTTGGCCGTGCACGGAAAGATAGCACAAAAATAGAAAGTATCATGTGACTCGCTCTCGGCCAATCAAGACACAGAATCTGTGGGTGAGGTGTTATAATACTTCTTAGCTGTCAAGGGGATATGGGAAAAAATTATCTCTCCTTCAGCAAACTTATTCCGTAAGACTGATTTTAACTTGTATGAACAACTTATTAGTTATATGTCGTATGTACGACTAATATATTGACAAGGTACGACATATGTCGACAGGGTACGACTAATATATCATCAGGGTACGATATATATATGTCGACAGGGTATGAAATATCAAACATATGACATAATGTCGACAGGTGCCGGTACGACATATATGTTGTGCGTATGTCGAGTCGACAGGGTACGATATATGTCGCATACGACAAAGTCATCTATAAGTACGACTTAATATCTCGTGTGTACAAAATATGAATTTTAACTCGTATAATATGTTCGACTTGTTTGTCGATTATGTCGTATATAAATTACGTCGATTATGTCGTATATAAATTGTGAGAACGACTTGTATCTCGTACGATGTTATACCTACGACTTACATGTTGTACGTACGTATGTCGTAGGTACGACATACAATTCGTACGTACGCGTTAAAATACATATGTCGTACGTATGAGATTATGTTGCACATGAATTCAGGGAGTTTTTTTTCACCATGTACCGGACAGTTTCGTCTATTTTCATCCCAAAGTCAATAGCTCGTTTCTTGCAGTTAATTCATACAGGTGCGAAGTACATGACTTATAGATACGAGTTAACCTGCATTCGATTAAATGGGTACGATTTGACCTGGGTCCGAGTTGACCTGTTCCCTACATTCTCTGTCTGCAGAATAGCACGGGCAGGTAGCGGCGTGATAATGTACGCTGTTGCACCGACAATAAACGTCGGCGGACTGTCTTCTTGAACTGTCCGATTCGCAATACATTGGAAATAGTATCAGTTTGAACAATTGTTCACTCATATAGCGGCATATTTCATTTCTTTGTAATAAAACTGGATGTGATTGAACATACATGTACGTGGTGTATACAGAAATTTGCGGGATCATGAATATGTATGTTGCGGGTCAAAGTTTACGGGCTTTGATAGGATATCATGTAATATATGCGCATCAGAAATTCTCGGCCGATTTCGGTCGAAACTATAAAGAAACACATAAGGAATTCGCCACGATTGCGTCAAGGCTATCTTCCGCCTCGCCTCGGCTGTTCGCGGAAGTGTGTGTGGGGCGTACGTACATGCACACAAAGCACATGCAAGGGTCGTTGGGGCTAACGGTATAGTACAACTCGTGGTTGTGTCGCGGCCCGTGCGGTGTGCGGTAGCGGGAACAAGCTCGTATGGGAACAAGCTGATAGCCTTGGTCAAGGCTACCTAGTAGCTGATTCCATGGCTCCAAACTCGAAAATTATGTTTAAACGATGGACTTTTGCTAAACAAAAATTGGCTTAAGAGGTCAGAAATTGCCTCAGATCGCACCACAGAGCCTCTAGAATCTAGCTCCTAGAATCTAGTGTCTAGGGGGAGAGGGCTTTAGCCCCCCCACTCCCCACATTTTGTCTATTCCCCCCCCCCCCCGAAAAAAAGAAAACCCCATTAAAAAAGAATGGCAGTAGGCAATATTAGGTGACGTCACATGAGAATTGTCTCTACCCCCCGAAAAAATAGTTGTGAGAAAGGGTAATTTGTACACGATTAATTAATTATAAGGTAATATTAGTGTACATGATTGTAGGATTTGATCAGCGCTCCCCACTGATAATGTGGTATGAGCCCCCCCCCCCCCCCCCCCCCCCCCCCCCCCCCCCCCCCCCCCCCCGGAGGCCTAGGTGTTCGGAGGGAAAAAACGGTCTTCATCTCAGCATGCCTTCTTGCATGCATTTCTGGATCCATCCCTGCTACTGCATGGTAGCCTCAATAAAATATATGCTCTAGAACAGCGCCTGAGACCATGCTGAGACCACTGACTCCATGCAAGCGGCAAATAGTTTGACCTTCAGGTAATCGCTTGCTGAACAGGTCCATACGGTACTACCGGTATATTGAGTTTTGGGCACGCCACCAATGCCAGAGCAAAGCGACTGTTGCTGACGTTACATCCCAGGTAGCCGAACTCTGTGCACGTTGGCAGCGGATCACCTAATAGTGCACAGATGGGTGCGATTAGATCAACACCACTGTACATGTATAGCCTCAATTTTTGGCGGGTTTATACGCTAACCCACTTGTGCTGAAGCACGTTTAACCGGTGAAATGGTGCTGTACGGCACCGACTGTGTCATTCATCAGTAAAGCATCATCGGCGAAGGCAAAACCAGGTAACTTGACCACCAATTTACGTGAAGCCAACCATTGATGAACCGTGTACTCATCAGCATCTTCGCATAACAAAATGCAGAAAACAACACTATACTGCGATGTCAGAAGCTTCCCTGAAAGGCCTGCTGCTATAAAAAAAAATCTCTTGACAATGTTCAGCACCTCAGGCTCAGGTGGAGATCTAATGGGCCGGATGAATGAATCCTGAAACCAGCTGAAACAGAAGATCTTGTCTGTGAGGTAATACTGCCAGCTGATGTACTAGATGTTTGAACATGGCTGACATGGCCAGAACAGGGCTAGGAGGAGGAGTTTACAATTCTCCTGCTGGTACCATCTTCCAACATAGGGGGCGCTCTTCAAAACCAACGATTATATGCTAAATATGCATTATGTGCCCATTTTCAGGCCGTATTGTATGGGTTTTGGGACTTGGTTTTCATATTCCTCGTTATCACAAATATCTATACCATTATTGGGATATCGTTACTTCTAAGAAATAGTGAGATACTTTAAGGGCATTTTTGTTGTATCTTGAGGGGCACTTTACTGTTCGAGGGGGCACATTTATGGCTGCAAAAGGGGCACTTGGGCAGCCCCCCCGGTTCCGCCGCCCCTGGGTGTGTAGCCTTATATTTCAAGGGTGCCGCAGGGCATGTCCAAATTCGCTTGTTACCAAATTTCGGGCAACTGATGTCGTCGTTGTTGGTTGTGGAGTGATGTAATAGCAGTTGCAGTAGTTCTACAGCATGGGGCTGTTCACATTAGACTTTTCAACGTCCCTGCTAACTTATCGTGGCTGCACAGAAATCTTCTGTGACCACTTTCAGCCTGGAAGTTTTGCAAAATGGTTCTGGTGAAGTTAACAGGGATGTTAGTTTACCGTCCGTCCACATTAGATTTAATTTTTTTCATTTGACAGGAAACGCATGGTAAGTTAACCAAAAAGGTCCAATGGGAACATGGCTTATGCATGTTTGAATAAAGCATACAATTAACAGCATACCAACAATTATTAAATGATGTACATGTACAGCGTGTGTCAATAAAAACGCAGGATTCAAAGCGATTTTTTTTCTGAGAAAATTATGCTACTGGTGTGCCTAATTTGATAAGGATTTGATTGTCCATAATTTCATCTTTGACAAGATTTCTGTTTGGTGGAATTTGGACTTTTGGTTCAAAAGTTATGACAAGTTTTGTGAAGCCCTTCTGAAGTGGGTTGGTCTGATTCAATGACCTTAACACAACGACCAGTTATGTACAATGCAGGTATGCACTGAAGACAATTAAACCAGAACAAAACTTTCTTTGAAACAACTGATGATAAGTATCACTTAAATTTAATAACTGGACTATCATTGTTTCAAAGCATCATGAATGTCGTCTCTGACATACATGTATTAATGCCTAATCCTGCCACACATGTCCTTCTTTGTGATCCACAAATACTTTCACCTGTACTGAATTCAAACCTTTCATTAGGTATGTGTGATTTCACAAATCAGACCAGCTTGGAATTTATAACCCTTCTTCAATGTAATCTATCTCTGGACAGGATTGTCCAAATGAGATGGGATAAAAAGCATAGTGAAGAGAAGGAAAGGTACTTTGAAAAGAGGGTTAACATTATGATGAATAGGGTGGTTTATATTCTTAATATTTTTGTTTCTAATCCTGCGTTTTTATTGACACACGCTGTACATGTACATGTACAGTCATCTGTACACAATCATCTGTGGCGTATACATTTTGACTGACCCAAAAAGGACACAATTAAGTTCAGGAGTTACAACAGCAGTAGATTTTGAGAAGCGTTCTGTGGATATTTGAGAAACATTCATAGCTAATAGCTTTCCAATGTGATTGCTAATTTGCAAACAATTAACATTGGTCTCTCATTATTCCCCTAAAAAGTCATAACTTTGCTCTTCCGCAATCAAACTGAAACGCCTATCAGATCAATGACTCAGCATCAAAAATCCAACTTCCAGTGTCCAATTGTGTTCCCTCCTTACCATTTTCTATGAGGAGACGCAAGCAGTCGAGTTTGCCATACTGAGCAGCTGTAAACACAGGCATGATTCCAAAGTCATCCTTTACAGCAATGGTGGCTCCAGCTTTGAGGAGAAGCTGCAGGATATCGGAGAAGCCACAGCAGGCAGCTTCATGGAGCAGGGACCAACCCCCATATAGATGGCTTTGAACGTCTGCCCCTTTCTTAAGGAGAAAGGCAACACAGTCTTTGTGGTTGCCTGAAACAGCTGTGTGATAAAAGGAAACATAATTCTGAATCAAGAATTTGAATTCATCATTCTCTTCCAAGATGCGGGGAGGGTGTAGTTCGGCTGTTGACCCTTGCTTACCATGGGTGACTTTCATGGACAAGAAAACCACACACAGAACACTCTCAATTCAGATTTATTCACTGCTTGTTAGAAACCTAGCATGTTGGTACATGTACCGTATGTTTGGCCGCCCATACATCAACCATACCAGCCAGAGTGTTTTCAGATCATTCTTATATTGTACAATGTAGCTTTTTACACAGTGTTACCATTACAAAATTAAGAAGGTGCTTCAGAAGTATCCACGCACAATTAGAGGTATGGAGTGCCATTTCGTCATTTGGTGAAGTTGCTTGCAGTTTTATAACTGGGACTAGATCTACAAAAAAGCAAAATTTTCGTTTTGCATATTTACATCACATAAAAGAGTAAAGTTCAAGGAACAAACTTCACACACCACACCTTTGATTTGGCAGTGAAAATCTGGGTTAAAAAAAGGAGAGCTCAGCTTGTGGTCCATTTTTCATGCTCTAGTGATTTCTGCATAATAATAATAAATAATAATAATAATAATAACCGTATTTATAAAGCGCCTTTTCCAAAGGATACAAAGTGCTAGGGGAGAATGCAACCAAAAACCTAAATGTGAATATCCAATATAAGAGTATATAAATACATGTATTACAGCAGAATGAAATACAAATTAGAAGGTACGATTGACCTGATGTGTTTTTAAGAGTCCCTTAAACTGCTCTACAGATGAAGCATTCCGGATAGTAATGGGGAGTGAGTTCCAGCTACGGGGACCAGCGATGGAAAATGCATGGTCTCCAAACTTCCTGGAAGATCGAGGTACCACCAGATTGGATTGTGATCGAAGACCTTCACGTTTGGGTTTGCTGAAATCAAATGTGTCCGAAATGTATGGTGGGAAAGTGTTGGATACAGTTTTGTACATGTTCAGTGCCGTCTTAAAAGTGATCCGCTGGTTGACTGGAAGCCAATGGAGATCCAGGAGCAGAGGTGTGGCAGGGAAATACTTCGGCTTCATATGATTAATCAAGCAGCCTTGTTTTGGAGTTTTTGTAGGCGGTTGAGATCGTGTTGATTAAGTCCAGTGAGAAGGGAGTTGCAGTAGTCAAGGCATGAGAGTACCAGTGCACGAACAACAGAATGACAGGTGTCGTAGTCCAGGTATTTGCGGATCATTGTGATGTTGCGTATGTGATAGTTAACCCTAACCCCCTAGGCTCTTGCACTAGAAAGTATACCAAACCTAACAAATTTCAACAGCTGCATACAGGTCTGTAAGCACTGGTACCAAAACTGCCAAACTCCAACAGGCCTTGTACGGGGAACAGTACTAAACCTGCCAAACTCCAACTGTTGGAGTATGATTGACTTGGTATGGATGGGCCTATGCATTGTCGAGTGATTGGATAGGGATGGTACCAAACCTAACAAAATAAAGCAATATGTACATGCACATTTCACCACAAACTGTGCTGAGGACCGCGGGTGAGCATACCCACGAAGAAATGCCAGTGAACTCCCTCAAACTCCAACGTGTTCACAAATCTCATGCCCTTCTGCCCCGAACCTCACAAAATTCAACAGGGTCTCCCTGGGCCTTTGGTACCCAGTCAATCAAAGTCCAACACCAACTGGCCAGTGTTCGGTACCAACCCTGCCAAAATCAAGCAAAACCCGCTGTTGGAGCTTGATGGGCTCAGGGTTGTCAGGGTTAACGGACCTGCACAGATCAGTGACATGTTGACTCATTGACATGGAGTTGTCAAAGGTTACTACCAAGTTCCGAACAGATGAGACAGGATTGATGGTTGTGTTGCCTATCGTGAGGGTTAGTAGCTGAAGACGTTTGGAGTGATATGGCGACGATGCTATTAAAAAGTCTGTTTTGTTTTCATTCAGCATGAGTTTGTTTGCAAGCATCCAGGTTTGAACATCCTGAATGCAGTTGGATAGCCTAAACAAGCAGCACTCAGCATCACACGGAATGGTAGGATTAAAATCCAGGTAGATTTGAATGTCATCAGCATACATGTGGTAACTTACTCCATGCGATGAAGGATGTCCCCAATAGGAGTAACGTACATGGTGAAAGCACGTGGACCGATAACAGATCCTTGAGGGACACCAAACTCAAGGTGATGGACATCGGAGTTGGCACCTGCAGCATGAACCCAATGTGTTCTTCCTGTGAAGTAGGACGAGAACCACTGAAGGGCAGTTCCAGTGATTCCAAATCGATCACGAAAGCGTGGCAGGATGATATCGTGATCAAGAGTATCAAAAGCAGCAGAGAGGTCAAGCATTACTAAGAAGACAGCTCTGCTGTTGTCCATTGTGCGGAGGATGTCATCGTGTACCCTGAGCAGAGCCGTCTCGGTGCTGTGACCAACTCTGTATGCTGACTGCAACGGATCCAGTAGCTTGTGATCGTCCAGGTATTGCGTGAGTTGGGAGCAGACTACTGTTTCAATGACTTTGGATAGGTAGCGGATGTTAGAAACTGGGCAATAATTCTTAAGATCCTCTTTATCCAATGAAGGCTTTTTCAAGATTGGTGTTACTATTGCATCCCCCAGACTCTCCGGAAAGACACCTGACTGTAAGGATGCATTAACAATCTCATTCAACTTGGGAAGAAAGGTCATAATGTGACGCTTGAGTAACGATGTGGGAATTGGATCCAGTTGGCACGATTTATTGGTAGATCGCTGAACAATCTTCAAGAGTTTTTCAGAAGTGACAGGATGAAAATCAGACAACTGGCAATCTGGAGACGGCAAGGTAACAGACAGTTGCTCGTCGACATGGTAATCAGCAATAAACAAACGAATGTTCTTTACCTTTTCCGTAAAACGTTGGCTAAATTGGTTGGCCAGCGCAGTTGGTGAGATTGAAACGGTAGGTACTTGTGGGATGCTGCCAATCAATTCATTGATGGTACGGAAGACGATTTTAGGATTTGTTTTAGTCAAGGATTCCTTGTAGAAACTGCATTTAACAGAAGCAAGAGTTTCAGAGACGGTGCGCTTGGCCGCGTCAAAGGCAAATTTGTCGGCGTGAGATCTTGACTTACGCCATTTGCGTTCAGCTCGGTGACGCTCACGTCTTGCCTCATCGATTGAGTTGTTATACCACTTAGGTCTGTGGCACTTGGGCTTAGAGCAGGATGACGTAGGCGCGTGTACGTCGAGAACTGTGATGATGGCATTATCAATATCGTTCAAGAATTTGTCAACAGTTCCATCATGACACACATGCTGAAGGTGATCTGACAGATCATTTGCAAATGTTGTGTGATCTATCTTGCCATAGTTGTGGGATGAAGATGAAGTGATCACTACTTTTGGCATAAGTGATCAAACAATTTGATTCTGGGGAGAGCCAAGTCAATGTGTTATTGGAAAGGGTTAAATGCAAAATCATTGAAATTGGGACGGTTTAAATAAAATTCATAAATACCTAAGACAGATTACCAATTCCCGTTGGTCGAGAGCCCGTCACGTGGCTGGTCTTAAACGGATAATAAAGACATGGCTGGCTGGTCTTAAACACTTTTCCTATGAAACCCAGTGCCTTTTACTGTTTTATTGGTTGAATGTTCACAATCCTCACATCTACAGGCATGCACAATACTACCAGTGAGTCAGTATTTCAAAGTCCTAAATAGTGGACCAGCCAAAGTGGAATATTAGACTTTGGACGACATTTTTTTGTAATAGCTGGCATCCATGCTAGATCAATTCTTTGAACCATAACAAACAAGATGTGGGTGGATGCCATCGTTAATCTTGTCCATAAATATACCTATTTTGCATAAATTGTTAATCCCTGCCGCGTAATAATTTTTTTCCCATGTTTGGGTATATTCTTTATTTTTTTGAAAAGTTTATTTTAGTGACTCTACTATAGGTTTTCTCGGTCAATTTCGGCAAATGAGCAGCCAATTTAACCACTATGCTATTCTATTTCGCGCGAAATCAAATGCTACTGAAAAGGGTCATTCGATTTCGTTTTATGACCAGTCAAATGTACTGTTGCGTCATTCGATTTAACAAAATAATCATTCAATTTAACAATTCAACAAAGCAGCATTCAAATTCGCAGGAGCTTTTTGAGGCGTGTGTTTAGTCATTCAAATTCATTTTTGGGCAGTCATTTCTGGAATTTGTGCAATCTAAAAAACGCTTTGTTAAATTTTTGTTTCCTTAAGAATGTTGAAGGCATAAATACGGTTCACTTTTTGGCACTTGAGTCACTTTGCCGATGTACTTCGAAGACGAGCTTTCGCTATAGTTTTACACGCATATTTCTAGAAATGGCAGCTCGTGGTCGCTAAGCTAGAGTGGCCCAGGTAGATTGAGAAAGGTTGATTGAGGCCTTTGAGGGAAACGAGCAAGACTACCTTGAGCTTGCGGTCAATTTGAACATCAACAAGTCCACAGCCAGATCAATTGTTGCAACATATTTGAGGACTGGAAGGCGAGAGACGCTGGCAAGAGGAGGAGCAACCCACAGCAAGATGGATGATGACATGCGAAACCATCTGCAAGGCATCCTTGACGCTAATCCCGTCTTGACACTTCAACAAATGAAGGCTAGTTTGAGTGAGCATCTGCCAGAGAAGCCCCAGGTTTCTACTGACACCATAGCCAGGGCCTTGGATGGGATGATGATTACACTGAAACTAGTGGAGGACGTCCCTGATGCAAGAAATTCCCCTGAAGTTCTTGATCAACGCGTCCAGTATGGTGAGTGGTTCCTGCAGCATGGTGTTCTGGCGCATCTAGTCTTCATTGACGAGACAGGTTATAATGCCTGGACTCGACGCTCCCAGGGTAGAGCTCCACGAGGAATCGCTGCAAGACGAGTCGTCGACAGACAACGAGGGAGAAATTGCAATGTCACCTTCGCTGTTTCTAGTGAAGTAGGCTTGGTGCACCACC